TGTGTATATGTCTAAAAGAAGTGGTCTTACCCCTATTCACGAGACATTTTGTCATGTATTATGTAAAACAACTGCATCTGGTACTGTGTTTTTCGATTCGTGAACGACTTGTTTGATAATGGTTTAGAGACAATAAACCGAAACGTCACTTATTTTTAACGATTTTAACGATTGTGTGACTAATTAATGAGCAATTTTGGACAACTAATATTTGATCTTCCGTCTGGTACCAAAAAACTGATTCGCACTATAGAAAGAACCAACCGAAAGCTTGCTAAAGCTCACAACTCCTTGGTCTACAATGAAACATATATATATATGTTTGTATATATATATATATATATATATATATATATATATATATATATATATATATATATATATATATATATATATATATATTCGTAAAAGAAGGAAGCAAGTTATTCAATTCACACTGTTTGTTGAACGTTATCGCAGCTTTGGCACACGTTAACTTCTTGCTAAGAGACTCTATCGTTCTTATCGTTTTACGGTCGTCGGTGTTATGTTCGAAGATGACATTTCCAAAACTCATTATCAATACATAGTTGAATAGAATCCAAAACATGACCTTAAGTTCAACGCGTTTCGTGTATGTCTCTACACATTTTCAAGAACAGGGTCATATCGGGTCACAAAGTTGAATAACATTATTTGAATTCATAATGCTGTCTCGTGCCAGTAACATAATGGTGTTTCGACTCTAAAAATAATCATAGACGGAAAATACCATATAACATGACAGATGATAAACGTACAGTCGAAATTACACTACATAGTACATATTACATATGTACATGATTACAGTGACGAGAAAGAGCGAGAGTGAAGGGGACGACAAGGGGCAAATTGTTGTCAGAGGACGGCCTATTTAACACAATCGGGGCCCTTCATACAGTTGAAGCGTACCCCTTAACTGTCTGTTCATGGTGGGGTCCTCTTCTCTGATGTAGAGCGCCTCGAGCGCCAGGAGGCGTCTCCTGTCTGGCGCCCTGTCCAAGATGGTGGTGTTCGCGACGATTTCTTTTCGCGTCAGTGCCGTGCTGTGCCTGGTCTGGGTGTGAACTTGAGGTGTTCCGTTCTGCAGGTGCATTGTCAGTCGTCTTGAGAGCGTCGTGGTTGTGCAGCCGATGTACCCGCTGTTTGGAAGGAGCGCGCAGTCCCCCATTCGACAATGGTAGCGGTATACTACCTTGCATTGTTTCAGCGACGTTTCGTCTTTGGTAAGATTGTTCTTCATGATGAGAGAAGATACAGTGGGACTTTGGTAGTTGATGTTCAGCTTCAGCTGGCTTGTGGCTTCTACTGGCTTACAATTACGGCTGATGATCTTCTTCAGCGCAACCTCATCACTTTTGTGGCCTGGTGTCATCTGGTTTTTGTAGAACAAGTTGATGGTGTTCTTCTCGGTAGTCTCTGTCCGATGACAGAATGCCTGTGGCTGCTGTGGCTGTGGCAGAATGTCCGATGGCTGTGGAATGCCTGGAGGAGACGCTTCGAAAGCGAACTTCAGCAGCACTAATTTACCATATTCTGTGGAGATAAATGAATATTATCTTAATCCAGAAAAAAAATGTATGCCCAAGCTGTATAAGCTGTATCTTTTTTAAAGTTGTAAATAGGATTATTTTTAGGGACTTATAGGTTTCGTATACAAATTGTCAGGGAACTCAGATTTGTTTTTCAATAGAAAAACACAATTCTAAAGAAAAGTGTTTTAACTATTGACAACAAACCTTCGGTGACACAGTGAATTGTGTTACATTAAGCCGTTTCGCTGTTATGGTTACTAACTGAAGAGTTGTCCTTTTTTCTCACAGGGAATGACAATACAATAACAATACGAATAAAACCAGACGTTTCGCACAAAAAAGTGCCTCCGTCAGTGGCAAGAAATAATAAGTAATTAGGCATACATGTTTTCTTTCCATAAAATCGATGAAGTAGTTATCTTTACTTTTTAAAGATATATTTTCAGCAGTTTTTTTTAAGCACATCATGGAAGCTTATAAACATTTGTGTATTTTATCGGCAACCCGGCTGGCCAGACCGAGACGGTGCCGCATTTAGTTCTCATCGATGTTAAACCTATACACTTATTTCTCTCCACTGACGAAGGCACGTTGTTGTCCGAAACGTTTGGTTTTATTCGCATTGTTTTTATATTGTCATTGTCCGTGAGAAAAACATACTCATATGGACTGGTCTCAGTTCATGTAGAAATTGTTGAACATTCATCAACGCAGATAAAATGAATATTAGCCCTCAGTCCTCACCACACATATAAGTAGAGGTTAGTAGACCACGCCCCCCGTTTTTCACCAATAACTCGCGGCAAAGCGAAGGATTGCGACGATTCTTTGGTGCCCTGGAGTCAATCAATTTTACAACTTCCCGGAAAATTAAATAGCCCTTATCATTTTTGCATCTTGTCTGATAATTTTAAATCCCTGAACCAAATTACCTTTAACCTGTGATTATTTTTTAAAGATCATGTCAGGCCAGAATAGCAATTGAAAGACAGTGCACATCTTCTGTGTGTTTCCATAGTCGTTTCGTGATTAGCTACGTGACAACATGTGAAATATACTATATAATGTTTGTCTCATTGATTGTTGTGGGTGCCAAGGCCACGTGAAACTCAGGTTAAGGTCATTTACTTGAAATGATCTCAGTTAACTTCCTTCAATTTACACCTTTTTACTGTGTTTTTTAGAAAGTGTTGGTTTGAAATTTAGCACCCATTTTAGCATTTGAAAACTAGGCATACTTAGGTATCAGTTATAGTGCATATGCAATATGTTGCAAGGCTGTAAGTGCTGGTTAACATTCTATGGATAGCCGGCAGAACGCCTAATGGGTGATCTGGCGTGACCCGGCCTACCCCAAATGCTTTGATACATCATCTTTGATCAAAGCAAGTGCAAATTCGGAGTCAGAAGCAAGCCAAGTCTCAGCAAACTTCACTTGTAGAAATTCTAGCAGGACCCAATTTTCCGTGCTTTTGGGTTATTAACCTGATCTGGGGGGTCAACCAGTGACCTAGGATCTTAGCATTGACCAGAACATAAAAATAATTGGCTTTCTCTCGTCAGCGATGACCAGGACCCTCAAATCATCGGATTTCTCTCGTCACGAGCAGCTCGCTCTTTTATTTTTCAGCGAAGCTCTGGCTCTTTTTATCAAGAGCCGAATGGCTGAGGGTTTCTACGCCCCTCCGCTACATGTAAGACGCTCAAAAGAAATGCCTAAATGGGTGAGGGTTAAATATCGATTGGTTTTTAAGTGCCGAAGCCCGAAGCACTTTAAGTTACTTCGATAGCAGTTTTTAAGACCAACGAGCTCGAATACTATAACTTCTTGAACAATGTAAGCACCACATAAAATGAATCGTGAGAGAAGCGGCTCAAGATTAACCCTCGCCCGTATAGGGGGGGGGGGGGGGGTCGAACGGACCCCCCCATGGTTTTTCGCGAATAACTCGCGTAAAAAGCGGCCGATCGCGACGAAACTTTCAGTACCCTCGCGTTAATCAATTTTACACCTACCCTGAGAATTTCATGACCCTGACCCCAATGACCTTTGACCTGTGACCTACTTTTCGAGACCATGTTTGGCCGGAATCGCGATTCGGCGTATGTCGGCTCGCATTCGCCGCGCGTTTGCAGTCTTTTCGTGGTTTCAAGCGTTCAGACATGTGATATGATGCTGCCCCCATGCATTAGGGTGGGTGTCAAGGTCACCTGAAGGTCAAGTCAGGTCATTGACCTTTGGTGACCTCGGTTCACTTTTTCGAGTTTTACATGTTTCTAGGCCAGTTTTTTAGCTGAATTCGAATTTAGCAGCCATATGAACGTTTACGAAGTAGTTTTGGTACCTTCGTAACATGTTATGAAGCTGTCAGAGGCGGTTGACACCTACTAGGAATACCCGGCAGGACCCCTACTGGTTGACCTGACCTGACCTGACCCGACCTGGACTTAATGCATAAAGACATCATCTGTGATCAAAACTAACATGATATTCGTGATCAGCGCCCCGAAAAACCCCATAGCAGCCACATTTTACGACGTTCTAACAGGTCCCGATTTTCCCGACTTTTGGGTCATTAACCTGACCTGCAAGGTCAACCAATGACCTAGGACCTTAAAATTAGGTATCATCGGCTTCCTCTCGTCACGGGCAACACGCTCGTTTTTTCCGCGAAGCTCTAGCTCGATCAGGGGCGAAACGGCAAGGGGGGGGGGGGTCCAACGGACCCCCCCCCCCCTTATACGTTCGTGGCTGAGAAAGCCCAAACAAACATAATATGAGAGCTATGAGAGGAGCTATGAGACACTTAATAAAAAGCGGCATAGATTAGAAACTGCACCTAACTTGCTCTGGTTTTTAAACCTTTTCGATGCAGACTGGTAGATTAAATTTTAGGATTTAAATTCTAGGATTAAATTTTAGGATTTTCACCATCCAATTCCATTCATAAAAGGCTACATTTGGCTACGTTTCCATGACACAAGCTAAGCCGATTTTGAAAAATGGATTTGCTCCATCATAGCATTTAGGCATAATTTAAAAATGTAAATGTAGGATTAGGTGCTAGTTAAAACCAAGGCCATAGAAACTACAGGTAGCGACAACACGCGTTTGACCTTGAATTCCGCCGGCCGGCGGGTGACGTCACTGGCGGCGAGCCACTCGGCGGCCCCGGCCGGCGACGTACTAAAACCGACTATTTCAAACCTCGTAATGGTAATGTTTGTCTTAAAATGAGATGCATTTAAATGCATCACAAGGTAATATGAAAGCAACCTTACCTTCTGATATGCCACGACGGCTCTTATTCACGCATAATACTAAATACGATCCTGCCTACATCGATTACTCCTGTCAACATTGCCAGGCGCCGGCAGATGGATGATTACGAGCTCGTCGGCTGTGTACGCATCCAGCTGTAAAACTGCTATTTCAGTTTAAACTCCCATGCTAAAAGTGGTATATTAACAATCGTCGTCGTCACCTGTGGACAGTTGGTCACCTCGTCGACACGTGCGCGCAGCGCCAGACTCCCTCCTACAGCGCCGCTGTGGCGGCACACACTCGCTCTCCCGTGCTCCCTCCAAAGCCGCTGTAACAGCCACACACGCTGAAGCGGGGCTGGACCTTCACCGCGTGCACAAAGAACGAGCATCTTATCGGACGGACAATGCTAACATCGGACAAGACTGTTAGTTATCACTTGTGACTTTATTCAAATATGGTTCCGCCGGACGATTCCCGGCTCCCGGTCAGCGGAGAACACCGTGATCTGGGAGAAGTTGATCTCAAACTTCTGCACGACTGACATCCACCAGACGGACGGCACATACAACTGGCCGCGGCTCACCACTTGAAGCCATCCTCTTGGGTCGGGGACAGATGCTAATGCTCTGTTCCATGTCAAGCCTTCGGCCGAAGTGCCCCGCTGAAAGCAGTGTCTGATGTCTGTACATACAGCTAGTAACATTCAAATACGCAAATTATTGAGCAGCTTAGGAGTAGCTACCGAAGACACTCCGACCGCGAGCTTGATATGGAACGAAGTATAGGGCCTCTGCAGATGCATCGTCCATCCGAACATCGTCCATCCGAGTCTGCGGTCCAAATGGCGGCATTTTTGAGCCACGAAGCCCGCAGCGAAAGCCATCGTCTGGTATGATATGTCGGCTTCCAGGCTGCAGGGCTCTGAGTGGGCGGCACCGCGGACCTCTGCACCAGCCACGCGCTGGAGATCCTCCGCCAGGATCGGTCCAGCCGCGAAGGGCTCGTCGATCTGGGAAAGTTACACCGGCTGCGTTAGCAAATTTAAGATAATTGACACTGAGCGATACCATTGGGCATAGGAACTTGGCAACGAGGCGAGCTCATCAAAAGTAAACACAGTGGCAAAAGTAAACACAATCACCATAGAATGCAAATCAACTATGATTCGCAAAACATGATTCTAAAGAAATATAGTGTCAAAAAGTACCTATATAATTCCAAAGGAAAAAATACGAGGACCAAGAAAATCCCATAACGTTTTTGATAATTCTTATAAATGATTTGTATTTCAAGTCCTAAAATTTATATAAATTGAAAATAACATTTTGAATACTATAAATTGACAAGTTTCATAAATGTAATATACCTATTCCAGACTCTAGTGCTCGCTCAGCCTTTATATTAATAAAAAAGCACCGCAAATGCTTACATTTACCAAGACGTTAAGGAGCAACTTTCCCATTAAATATTGAGGTTACTCAGTGACATACTCACCTTCACATCGATGCCTCCGGCTTCCAGAACAGAGTCCGACAGTGTGATTGGGCATTGCCAAGATTCTTCAAGATGTTGATATTGATATTGGGCATTGCAACCTCTTTGTTTACATATTAGTAGGTATAGTAGATTTTATTTATGATTTAGTCCAAAGTTCAACCACTTCACAACCAAGTAACCACTTAAAATGATATCAACTCACAAATAAACCTCTAAAATCAACTGGCTGTATCAATTTCAGCCCTATATGAGTCGAGTGGCCGTGGCAAGGGCCGCGGTTACCATGGTAACAACGGTTACGACTTGTTTGCGTCACCCTGAAAATAAACGAGCCCAAAGCGCCAACACTGTCTCTGCTTATGTTCACAAGCAGCAGAGTCTGGTTTTTGTTAGCAAATTCCTGCGCTCTGATTGGCCGCCATCGGGCGCCGCCAAGTACGTCATCGGAGCTTCTTCAGTAAACAAAATCGTGACCAATGGCGTTCCATTAGGTGTCACCCCCCTGGTTAAAACCATATATACGCTCATTTTTTGCATAAGGTAAATGGTTTCCGAGAAAAACGCACGTGAAATTTCGCTAAATCGATTGAGACGTGTCATGGAAACGTAGTCCAAATTGTTGATTTTAGATAAGTGTGAAATACAAACTCAATAAAAGTTTAATGATACGGCAAATTTGACAGCTTTTATAATGAACAGACAAATAACTTTAACAAATCAAGGCTGAGAGCCCCAAATAGGGGAGAGTGAGGTAAGATGAGCCAAGGGGCAAGTTTAGCCACCCCATGTTTCTCAGCTCCTATGGCGCTAATTGACTTGAGCTTCCATGTGCCGTTCGCTAACGATGCTGCAGTCTTTCACGTGACACGGCAACGTTCTCACGCTCAGCACCCGGTAACATCGCCCCTGATATCGCCCCTGATAACTAAGACATGTTTTGCTGGCTCATAAACTCTCCCCCCCCCCCAAAAAAATAAAGGAAACCGATCATCCGCAAAAAGAACTATTGAGCTCGAACCAAGGTGACGAATCGATTTATAGGTATGCAGGATGACTAACGATGCCACTTTTTGACTTCTTGTGTCAAATAAATTCCATCATCTGGATAGCACGTCAACATTCTAGTTGACATTTTGCAACAAACGTATACTATTTGGCGCTACTAGCCTCATAAATGTTCTGAAACTAAAACCGTTTCTTCACAATTAACTTGGACCACATCATCCCAGCTTATGCATGACAAAAATAAAATAATGCTTCAGGATCACTGGCCTGAATTCCAATGCTTAAAGTTTACTCAAAACCGGTGTGGCTGAGGCACTCTTCGCTACATCTCGTGACGGCCACCATTGTGTTGCATTTTTCGGTAAGCTATAAGTTAATAAGGAAAGGATTGGTGAGTGGTTTGAAAACAGCCCTCACCCTCCACCCCCCGCGCAAACCTGTTCTTCTGGAAACATAAGTAACCGAAAGATCTGGCGATGGTTTATCCACCCCGTCTGCCGCCGCGCTGCGAGACCTCGATTCGTTCGGTATGTGGCTTCCTGAGCGGTCCTCCCCGGAGGCAAGGTGAAAGGTCATGGCCTGTATCAGAAATGTATACGTTGCTGAATATGTTTTATAGTTCTTCCAAGGCCTTGGACACCGTTTTATTATATCGGATAAACATTGCACTTTCTTGTCAATCAATACCTTTAAAGAAAACTTGATCATAATCTTATACGGCGGCAATTGTAGTTCTGCTTACGGTTGCCTCTTTATGATACGGGCCACCACCACCTCCACTGCGCTGGAGCTCAGGCGTTCTACCCCTCCCCGCTACGGACCGGCCCTCGGGCTAGGTGTGTTAGTACTGAGCGCAAACCTGTAGTAGTCACGTGACTTTCATTCACGTAGCGGGAACGGAAGCTATAGGCGATACCAAGGACGGGCTCTGGGGAGGCAAACGGCGCGGAAAAATAGCACGATTGTAGTTTTGGAAGAATATCTGTTGCGGTAAGAGGAATTATACAAAACATACGTCCTAGGAGCAAACATGTGTTATTCCTCTATACTTTGCGCTACATTTCCTTTCTCCAATGGCCAGCACTTAGCAAATAATAGCGCAATTCTAAATTGGTAATATATGTGTATGTACAGTAGCAACTGCCTGTGCATACCATCAAAATGTTTGTGTCAAAAAAAGTTATAAAAATTGCAGCAGTTTTGTGAGTCGAAAATAGCTGTAGAATAGGCCTGTATGACTTCAACAAACGTGCGCCGAAAACGTCTGAAAACAACTAAACAAAAACAGTGACAAACCCCGCGTTCGATGTCTCTCGGACGACGAAGATTCTACGTCGTCCGGCCAATCCCGTCCAAGGTCAGCGGGGGCTCTGCTGCGGTTATAGAACATGATTGGCCGGACGGCGTAGAATCACGTCTGTCAAACTAGCAGCGAGCAGCGAGCAGCGAGTCCAGCAGCGAGAAACGGGCCATCCCGATTTAGCTGAAATTTGGCTCACAGAGCCTTCTCAGCACGCTGATTCCGAAAATCACGGTCTCTAGGGTGGAAATATTGACCGTTCTCGAGATAGAACCCTCTAAAGTTCTTACCATCCATGACCGGGCCATCCCAATTTGGCTGAAAATTGGCTCACAGAGCCTTCTCAGCACGCTGATTCCGAAAATCATGGTCTCTAGGGTGGAAATATTGACCGTTCTCGAGATAGAACCCTCTAAAGTTCTTACCATCCATGACCGGGCCATCCCAATTTGGCTGAAAATTGGCTCACAGAGCCTTCTCAGCACGCTGATTCCGAAAATCATGGTCTCTAGGGTGGAAATATTGACCGTTCTCGAGATAGAACCCTCTAAAGTTCTTACCATCCATGACCGGGCCATCCCAATTTGGCTGAAAATTGGCTCACAGAGCCTTCTCAGCACGCTGATTCCGAAAATCATGCTCTCTAGGGTGGAAATATTGACCGTTCTCGAGATAGAACCCTGTAAAGTTCTTACCACCCATGACCGGGCCATCCCGATTTGGCTGAAAATTGGCTCACAGAGCCTTCTCAGCACGCTGATTCCGAAAATCATGCTCTCTAGGGTGGAAATATTGACCGTTCTCGAGATAGAACCCTGTAAAGTTCTTACCACCCATGACCGGGCCATCCCGATTTGGCTGAAAATTAGCTCAAAGAGCCTTCTCAGCACGCTGATTCCGAAAATCATGGTCTCTAGGGTGGAAATATTGACCGTTCTCGAGATAGAACCCTCTAAAGTTCTTACCATCCATGACCGGGCCATCCCAATTTGGCTGAAAATTGGCTCACAGAGCCTTCTCAGCACGCTGATTCCGAAAATCATGCTCTCTAGGGTGGAAATATTGACCGTTCTCGAGATAGAACCCTGTAAAGTTCTTACCACCCATGACCGGGCCATCCCGATTTGGCTGAAAATTGGCTCACAGAGCCTTCTCAGCACGCTGATTCCGAAAATCATGCTCTCTAAGGTGGAAATATTGACCGTTCTCGAGATAGAACCCTGTAAAGTTCTTACCACCAATGACCGGGCCATCCCGATTTGGCTGAAAATTAGCTCAAAGAGCCTTCTCAGCACGCTGATTCCGAAAATTATGGTCTCTAGGGTGGAAATATTGACCGTTCTCGAGATAGAACCCTCTAAAGTTCTTACCATCCATGACCGGGCCATCCCAATTTGGCTGAAAATTGGCTCACAGAGCCTTCTCAGCACGCTGATTCCGAAAATCATGCTCTCTAGGGTGGAAATATTGACCGTTCTCGAGATAGAACCCTGTAAAGTTCTTACCACCCATGACCGGGCCATCCCGATTTGGCTGAAAATTGGCTCACAGAGCCTTCTCAGCACGCTGATTCCGAAAATCATGCTCTCTAGGGTGGAAATATTGACCGTTCTCGAGATAGAACCCTGTAAAGTTCTTACCACCCATGACCGGGCCATCCCGATTTGGCTGAAAATTAGCTCAAAGAGCCTTCTCAGCACGCTGATTCCGAAAATCATGGTCTCTAGGGTGGAAATATTGACCGTTCTCGAGATAGAACCCTCTAAAGTTCTTACCATCCATGACCGGGCCATCCCAATTTGGCTGAAAATTGGCTCACAGAGCCTTCTTAGCACGCTGATTCCGAAAATCATGCTCTCTAGGGTGGAAATATTGACCGTTCTCGAGATAGAACCCTCTAAAGTTCTTACCACCCATGACCGGGCCATCCCGATTTGGCTGAAAATTGGCTCACAGAGCCTTCTCAGCACGCTGATTCCGAAAATCATGGTCTCTAGGGTGGAAATATTGACCGTTCTCGAGATAGAACCCTCGCAGCGAGTCCAGCAGCGAGAAACGGGCCATCCCGATTTAGCTGAAAGTTGGCTCACAGAGCCTTCTCAGCACGCTGATTCCGAAAATCATGGTCTCTAGGGTGGAAATATTGACCGTTCTCGAGATAGAACCCTCTAAAGTTCTTACCACCCATGACCGGATCATCCCGATTTGGCTGAAAATTGGCTCACAGAGCCTTCTCAGCACGCTGATTCCGAAAATCATGGTTTCTAGGGTGGAAATATTGACCGTTCTCGAGATAGAACCCTCGCAGCGAGTCCAGCAGCGAGAAACGGGCCATCCCGATTTAGCTGAAATTTGGCTCACAGAGCCTTCTCAGCACGCTGATTCCGAAAGTCATGGTCTCTAGGGTGGAAATATTGACCGTTCTCGAGATAGAACCCTCTAAAGTTCTTACCACCCATGACCGGGCCATCCCGATTTGGCTGAAAATTGGCTCACAGAGACTTCTCAGCACGCTGATTCCGAAAATCATGGTCTCTTGGGTGGAAATATTGACCGTTCTCGAGATAGAACCTTCGCAGCGAGTCCAGCAGCGAGAAACGGGCCATCCCGATTTAGCTGAAATTTGGCTCACAGAGCCTTCTCAGCACGCTGATTCCGAAAATCATGGTCTCTAGGGTGGAAATATTGACCGTTCTCGAGATAGAACCCTCTAAAGTTCTTACCACCCATGACCGGGCCATCTTGATTTGGCTGAAAATTTGCTCACAGAGCCTTCTCAGCACGCTGGTTCCGAAAATCATGGTCTCTAGGGTGGAAATATTGACCGTTCTCGAGATAGAACCCTCGCAGCGAGTCCAGCAGCGAGAAACGGGCCATCCCGATTTAGCTGAAATTTGGCTTACAGAGCCTTCTCAGCACGCTGATTCTGAAAATCATGGTCTCTAGGGTGGAAATCTTGACCGTTCTCGAGATAGAACCCTCAAAAGTTCCTACCACCCATGACCGGGCCATCCCGATTTTGCTTAAAATTGGCTCACAGAGCCTTCTCAGCACGCTGATTCCGAAAATCATGGTCTCTAGGGTGGAAATATTCAGGGTTCTATCTTGAGAATGGTCAATATTTCCACCCTAGAGACCATGATTTTCGGAATCAGCGTGCTGAGAAGGCTCTGTGAGCCAATTTTCAGCCAAATCGGGATTACCCGGTCATGGGTGGTAAGAACTTTAGAGGGTTCTATCTCGAGAACGGTCAATATTTCCACCCTAGAGACCATGATTTTCGGAATCAGCGTGCTGAGAAGGCTCTGTGAGCCAAATTTCAGCTAAATCGGGATGGCCCGTTTCTCGCTGCTGGACTCGCTGCGAAGGTTCTATCTCGAGAACGGTCAATATTTCCACCCAAGAAACCATGATTTTCGGAATCAGCGTGCTGAGAAGGCTCTGTGAGCCAATTTTCAGCCAAATCGGGATGGCCCGGTCATGGGTGGTAAGAACTTTAGAGGGTTCTATCTCGAGAACGGTCAATATTTCCACCCTAGAGACCATGACTTTCGGAATCAGCGTGCTGAGAAGGCTCTGTGAGCCAAATTTCAGCTAAATCTGGATGGCCCGTTTCTCGCTGCTGGACTCGCTGCGAGGGTTCTATCTCGAGAACGGTCAATATTTCCACCCTAGAGACCATGATTTTCGGAATCAGCGTGCTGAGAAGGCTCTGTGAGCCAAATTTCAGCTAAATCGGGATGGCCCGTTTCTCGCTGCTGGACTCGCTGCGAGGGTTCTATCTCGAGAACGGTCAATATTTCCACCCTAGAGACCATGATTTTCGGAATCAGCGTGCTGAGAAGGCTCTGTGAGCCAATTTTCAGCCAAATCGGGATGGCCCGGTCATGGGTGGTAAGAACTTTAGAGGGTTCTATCTCGAGAACGGTCAATATTTCCACCCTAGAGACCATGATTTTCGGAATCAGCGTGCTGAGAAGGCTCTGTGAGCCAATTTTCTGCCAAATCGGGATGGCCCGGTCATGGGTGGTAAGAACTTTAGAGGGTTCTATCTCGAGAACGGTCAATATTTCCACCCTATAGACCATGATTTTCGGAATCAGCGTGCTGAGAAGGCTCTGTGAGCCAATTTTCTGCCAAATCGGGATGGCCCGGTCATGGGTGGTAAGAACTTTAGAGGGTTCTATCTCGAGAACGGTCAACATTTCCACCCTAGAAACCATGATTTTCGGAATCAGCGTGCTGAGAAGGCTCTGTGAGCCAATTTTCAGCCAAATCGGGATGGCCCGGTCATGGGTGGTAAGAACTTTAGAGGGTTCTATCTCGAGAACGGTCAATATTTCCACCCTAGAGACCATGACTTTCGGAATCAGCGTGCTGAGAAGGCTCTGTGAGCCAAATTTCAGCTAAATCGGGATGGCCCGTTTCTCGCTGCTGGACTCGCTGCGAGGGTTCTATCTCGAGAACGGTCAATATTTCCACCCTAGAGACCATGATTTTCGGAATCAGCGTGCTGAGAACGCTCTGTGAGCCAAATTTCAGCTAAATCGGGATGGCCCGTTTCTCGCTGCTGGACTCGCTGCGAGGGTTCTATCTCGAGAACGGTCAATATTTCCACCCTAGAGACCATGATTTTCGGAATCAGCGTGCTGAGAAGGCTCTGTGAGCCAATTTTCTGCCAAATCGGGATGGCCCGGTCATGGGTGGTAAGAACTTTATAGGGTTCTATCTCGAGAACGGTCAATATTTCCACCCTAGAGACCATGATTTTCGGAATCAGCGTGCTGAGAAGGCTCTGTGAGCCAATTTTCTGCCAAATCGGGATGGCCCGGTCATGGGTGGTAAGAAGTTTAGAGGGTTCTATCTCGAGAACGGTCAATATTTCCACCCTAGAGACCATGATTTTCGGAATCAACGTGCTGAGAAGGCTCTGTGAGCCAATTTTCAGCCAAATCGGGATGGCCCGGTCATGGATGGTAAGAACTTTAGAGGGTTCTATCTCGAGAACGGTCAATATTTCCACCCTAGAGACCATGATTTTCGGAATCAGCGTGCTGAGAAGGCTCTGTGAGCCAATTTTCAGCCAAATCGGGATGGCCCGGTCATGGGTGGTAAGAACTTTAGAGGGTTCTATCTCGAGAACGGTCAATATTTCCACCCTAGAGACCATGATTTTCGGAATCAGCGTGCTGAGAAGGCTCTGTGAGCCAATTTTCAGCCATATCGGGATGGCCCGGTCATGGATGGTAAGAACTTTAGAGGGTTCTATCTCGAGAACGGTCAATATTTCCACCCTAGAGACCATGATTTTCGGAATCAGCGTGCTGAGAAGGCTCTGTGAGCCAAATTTCAGCTAAATCGGGATGGCCCGTTTCTCGCTGCTGGACTCGCTGCTCGCTGCTCGCTGCTAGTTTGACAGACGTGTAGAATCTTCGCCGTCCGAGAGACATCGAACGCAGAGCGCTGTTCGGCAGCCGGCTATTTTGTGTGCAGGGTATGACGTATTTCGCGAGCCGACGTCACAGGCGGTGACGTCGGCTCGCGCGCGAGCCGAGCGCCAACGACAAACTAACGGGAACCCTCGGACACCCTCGGGGCATAAACCGCGGAGTAGCATATTGAGCGAGTCTTATAAGGAAAATTCATATATTTTCGTTTCTCAAATGATAATCAGGGTGTCTCTGACCTTTTTACATATCATTTAGGCTTACCTAACACTTCAGTTGCCAAATATCTGCAATTTATTCAAGCGAAGGTATTTTCAGTAAATATCAATGGTATAGACCGAAATCTTTTGAATAAAAACTCCAACCAACAGAAATAAAAATAACTTAATTTATTCCAACCATTTCCTCCAAATAAACAACATAAAAACTCACTTTTACACACATCATTCATAATAAAGCATACTAACACGCCGCTTTTGACAATTGCGGCGTCGAGTGGCGCGCTGCTAGCGCTCTTTTTCGATCGCAGAGACCCTGCACGCGCGCGAGCACACTACGTCACGTCTGGGGGGCACAGGTATATGAAAAATCGCAGTGACGTAACACTTTTCTCGCTTCTCATTGGTCAATAGCCCGTTGCCGGGGTAACGTGCACGTATGTGAGCGCGGGCAAGAGTACTAGCCGGCCGCCGATCTGGGCCCGGGGAAAAACTCACTGCAAAAACTAGAAAAATAACTGCACCCACGCGGCTTTATCTGTAAGTCAATATACCCTGGCCTTCTCACCCATTGGCCATTGCTGAAGGTGAGCTATGGCTAGTTTGAGCATGACTATGAATATTGTGATGTTAGGAAATAACCTTATGCTCATGATACAATGAAATGACAGTTATTTGAAAATTACAAGCATGATCTTTCCTCGATTTCAATTTCAAGGAATGGTCATGCTTGTATATTTTCAAATAACTTTTACAATGTTCCTTGGCCCTTGCACAAGCACTCAACTCCATCTACAATGAAATGATAGTAAAATATCATATGTCATATGATATGTCCAAAAAGTAGGGGAGAGTGGGATAAAGCGGACTAGCTAAGAAACGGTGTTAGATAGCTGCTAAGTGATAGTGAAAATGTTTATATCAGCCTACGTGTTAGCTTAATCCTTCAGCCCAAACTTTGATGTATGCGAGTTTTGTCTAGCTACTTTGGATTCTTTGTTGAACATTGCCGCTACACATTTTGAGTTCAGTTGGGGAAACTACGAGGCGAATGTCAAAAAATTGATTGGTCAATAAATGGACTTTTGATGACCATATATGGGCATAAATGCAGCCCCCGCTACCGAGGGTGAAAAACGGTATAACAAGCCGGTACTTGCGGTATCGCGTCCACTTATTGGAGAGAAAAGGCTTCCATTTTCCACTAGGAATAAGCGTGATTTGATAAAATTCGGCGAATTGACTTGAAAATGGCGATTGGAAACCAGCTTTTCTGCAGGTTTTGGGCGTCACATTCAGCTGGCCAATTCAATAAACGGATTGGTTTTTTGAAAGAAAATTGTTAATAGATTTAATTTAATTACAATAAACAAAGATGTTTAATTGGGTATTAGTATATATTAGGTCCGAGTGGACAATTGTGACGCTTGATACAAATATGTAACAGCAAAAAATTTAGGTTTTAGGTTAGGTTAGGTTGTAGGTTTGTAGGTTTTAGGTTTTAGGTTGGTAGGTTTGTAGGTTTTAGGTTGTTAGGTTGTAGGTTAGTAGGTTGTAGGTTGGTAGGTTGTAGGTAAATAGGTAAGGTTAGGTCAGGTTTGATTATGTTTTTTCTTTTATTTCCAGGACATATAAGTATCATTTTTGGATTCAGGATGTCAAATAATGTAAGAATATGAAAACTTTATATTTTAACAGTCACTCGGACTCAATGTATACTTTTACTCATAATTGTTAAATAATAACTTAACCACAATTAGAAAAACCATAAACAAAATAATAAAAATAATGACATTTTTAAACCACGGTACTGCTTACATTTTTTGGCGCGTCTGTTTCAATCCGCCATATTTGCCCATCACTAATTGACCTTGTGTTGTAACTCTGCGATTTAGAGCCGCCAGTTAATTGTGCACCGAGTGAGTGTGGGCCTTGTATGGTTAAAAAACATTCTTATGCTTTATTTTTTCATTTGAATGCTAGAATGCATTAAAAAGATGAAGTTGTCTCATTTTATGACCATATATGGTCATCGCCCCGCCCACTCCACCCGTTGATTGGCTAATCTAATTTTTGTTTGGCTCCTCGTAGTTTCCCCAACTGAGTTAAAAAACTCATGAGGCAAAGTCGACCACCCCAATTTTTCTTTCTTCCCTTAGAGCTTGCTTTAGAACCACTTCTTTCAAGAACATTTTTAACGTCCTTAATTCATATGCTAGCTACATCCATGGGTAGGGCCACCATGAGGTACGTGGGGTACCAGTACCCTACAGTCATTTGATTGTGGGGTACTGCATATACCCAGTACCCCAGAGACAGGAACCCAGTCTGAACTTTTTCAAGACTTTTGTAGTTGTGCCATGGCCCTCTTTAACCGTTAAATAGGTTTTAGCAGTGGTCCAATGCCAACAAAGGGCCAATATTGAAAGATGTAACAGTCCCCTACAGATCAGCAGGGCCCTTTGAAGGCCTGTCCGACCTGTCGTGTATTCAGAGCCCAGAGGGCCTTTATGTAGCTTAGAGGGTCCCCCGTCAAGTGATTAGGGACCTTTATCATGTGCTCAGAAGGCCCCGTCAAGGAATCAGGGACCCCTTCATGAGTTTAGAGGGTCCTCACGTGTACTCAAGACTTTTCTGTAGCTCATAGGGCTCTCGTCAAGCATACAGGGTTGGGAGCCTTTCTGTTGCTCAGAGAGGCCTGTCAGGCATTCAGGGGGCCCTTTAAATGCTCAGATAATGTTCTTGTGGCTCAGAGGGCCGCGTCACGCCTCGTCATGCGCTTAGAGGGCCCTGTCGTGTACTCGTAGGGCCTTTTTGTAGCTTAGAGGGCCCCGTCAAACAATCAGGGACCCCTGCATGCGCTCAGATGGCCCTGTCGTGTTCGTAGAGGGTTTTCTTTAGCTCATAGGGACTTGTCAAACGTTTAGGGGCCCTTAAAGGAAATAGTTCACTTTCACGAAATTATTTTTTTTGCAATGGATTTGTGATTTTTTATGTTCAAAATGATCAGCAAAGAAAATAAAATCTTTTTACAACAAAAGATTATTTTCTATATTTTTGATATAGGAAGAACTTTTCAGTTTCTGTAAGGCACACGCGATCCAGTATGAAAAGAGCATGGGTCCCGAAAATTCTTCAGAAACTAGAGAAATTATCGCGGCCACCGGCATTTGGGCGATCTGCTCGTGCTTTTGTTACTGGAGCGCATTGGAGCGCCTCACTGGAGCGAATTTCTCTAGAGTTCTCGTAGATAATTTCTCTAGTTTCTGAAGAATTTCCGGGACCCATGCTCGTTTCATACTGGATGCGAATATATGCAAGGCACACATCCTCAACGCAAGACACATTTTTCGGGACGAGAAATAGAATATCTTTGCCTAGGGTGATCGTTGGGCTGTAAAAGCTCCTGATTTATGCTCGTCTCAGCCCAAGCTACGGAACTGCTATTCCAGTTCAAAACCCATGTTAAAATGTGAACTATTTCCTTTAAAGCGTTAACCTTCCAGGCGGTGGGGGGCATTTTTTGCCCCCCCCCCCTTAGTTTTTTTTTTATATATCTCGAGAACCGCTGCGCCGATCGTCACCAAACTTTCAGTACCCTCCCGGGAGCAGCTAGCGCACATGGTGACCAATTTTTTTCCCAAAGGCTATGATAGGTTGGCCGCTAATGACGTCAGAGTGACGTCATTTTTGCCATTTTCGACCCAAAAAAGGTTTCGCGGGAAGAACTGTCAGGCCTACAGTAGAGTTGCAAAGTTTTCCCAATGGGCTGCTACCGGCACCGCCCCGCGGCCGCCCCACAAACATTTTCTGGGATACCGGCATGCTACCACGCCCCAAGCAAAAAAACCGCCAAATTACCGGCATACTAAAAAACCTGCATTCTTGATTTTGGCTTACCCCTACATGAGATGCCACATTTTGGCAATTTCAGTAACCGCCCCACCCAACAGCCACCCATTGTCCAACTTATTACAATTCAATAGCCTTTTAGTGTCCAAAGTTCGAATCATATGCTGATAATTTTTTGTGCAAAATCAAAAATACCGGCATGCTACCGGCAAGACATGCCAGATACCACGAAAAAACCTGCGGTAGTGAAAAATTACCGGCATGCCGGTAGTGCGGTAGGGAAATTTTGCAACTCTAGCCTACAGCTTTAGAGATACAGAAAAATGTTCCAGACATAAATGGTGTGGAATCAAAAGTGCTACAAAACTGTTTTTTCGGTTTTTCGAATTTTTTTGGATTTTGACCCCCAAAAATAGAAAATAGATTTTTTGAATATAATAGCCAAAAAAATCCAAAAAGTTTTTTGAATTTCGAAAAACCGGAATATATGTGATAGTCCCTACCGCCTTCTATCTACATACCAAATTTCACAAATTTGAGATCGATACCTCTTTTTTTGGCCAAGTGATAGGTAGCGAAAAAACTGTTCAAGATTGATGACGTCAAATTTTCAAACTCAATTTTTAGCAATTCTAGACCTCGTAGCGCAAAACAAAGACCACCATTAGACTCCCCGTGACGAGCTGCATCGAATCGATACCCATTTTATGCAAAAATATCAACTTTGAAATTTGACCTTTTTTGACCTGACCTTGACCTGACCTCCACCAGAAAGTGGCCTAAACCGTACCTGATGGTCTTATAACCAACACCATTGAGTTGGAAATGAAAAACTGGTCATAAAACATGCATCGCATAACCTTAGTAAAGTTGGGCTCATGTGGTGACCCTTGGTGACCTTTGGTGACCTGACCTGTGACCTGACCTGGTAGGTATGACCAGTGACCTCTAATAGCAACATATGTACTAGACAACTGACGCCTTATCGCTGATTTTCGACAAAATGCGTTTTACTCGGTGTTATAGCGCTTTCCCTAGAAGCCCCGTGAACGGTGAAACATTTTATCTTTGACCTGACCTGTGACGTCATCGGTGACCCCGAGTTCAATGAAATTTGGTTTCCTTCGACAAATTTGACAGGGCTATCGAACGCCGTTTGAATTTTCCGGATCCGTCCAGTAGTTTCGGAGATACGGAGGGGGGGGGGGCAAAAAATGCCCCCCCCCCCACACCGCGCGGAAGGTGGCTGGTAAGCCCACCGCCTGCCGGGTTAAGAAGGCCCTTCTGTCACTTAGAGATCCCTGCCAAACGTTCAGGGGTCCTTTATATGATCAGATATTCAGGGTTGTGCTCGACTCAAAAAATTGCCGATTCGACCCATCATTCAACTTCAGAATGCCCTGACTCAACTCTGACTCAAACAACTAGCTGACTTTTTCCCTTGACTCGACTCATGACTCAAGCGGCTCAATGAAAATAGATGTTGACTCAAACTTGACTCAAATTTTGTGTTGAGTGAAGTGTGTTGACTCAAAATTGACTCAGATAAAAATGTTGTTGAGCGGGGGGGTGAAAAAATCCGGCAGCAGGGCCAGGCCTTAGTTGTTAAGCGGAGGGAGAATGAAAAACTTATAGGGGCATCTAAAAGGGGGGGGGGGCAAATGCCCATTATGTTTTTCGCTAGGATA